GTTTTGAGAAGGGAAACAGTAAAGCCCTTGATGAAGTTTACTACCACTGATGTGACTGTTACCAATGATAGGACATTTCCTGATGAAGCAGATGAACCCCACATGAAGCAGAAGCCAACGAGATGGAGACCAGTATGGAAGAAGATACGTCCCGTAAAATTAAGAGACTTTGTTGAATTGTAATTTTGTGTTTGTAAATTCTGTACATTTAATTAAGTTATTGTTTATTGTTTAATGTAAGTGGCTATTATTCGGGACGAACAATACTAAGGAAGGGGTAGTGTTATGACAGCTGAGGTCACGTGACGCTAGTAACACGTCATATTCTCGAAGCTTCGTGAATCCTCGGGTGATTACTGTTTAGATGTACGGTATTTTTTTATATAAGACGGCCAAGAAGTGACGGTAACAACGTAATGAATGTGTAATTGAACTGCGGACAGAGTATTGTTGAGTCGAGCACGTGAGACGTTCGTTGTGAATTATAGCGTTTGTTATAGCGCGATTGTTGAAATTAAGTGTATTGCAAAGTTGTATTCACAAAGAATAAACCAGTTTTATTGAAGAAAGGACTTGTATCGCTAAAGTTTCTTCGGAAAGAATTTTTACGGAAAATTAATTAACGACCAGAGACGTAACAATATATCTGTTTGAAGAAGGTTGACGTTTCGAGCTAGCGCTCTTCGTCAGATCGTACAGTTTACAACGATGAAGAGCGCTAGCTCGAAACGTCATCCTCCTTTAAATAAAAATATATAAAACTTGGCGATTGTTCAACCTATTATTTAATTTTCATATTTTCTTCGCCTATGCGGTCTTAACTGTATTTATGTGTGTGTGACTCAACTCGCCATTTTCTGCTAACGGACGTTGTTTGTAATTAAATTGAATAAGGTAATGATATTTTATCAACGTTCAACATATAACCTGGGGAAGTCGGTTGTAAACTGAATAATCATTGTTAAAAACTTAAAATATTAACGAGAAAACTATGAAGCATTTTGATAACGGGGGACTTTTCGCCTTGTACATTTGTATATATAGTTTCAGATAGAGAAAAAAGGCGCCAAGTAGAAGGCAAAATTCTGATCCAGTTTTTTTGGGGGGGGTTTGTTTGTAATGAAGCACAAAGCTACACAAAGGGCCATCTGTCCTCTGCCCACCACGGGTATCGAAACCCGGATTCTAGCGTTGTAAGTCCGCATACATACCGCTGTGCCACTGGGGGTCTTTTTTTTTTTTTGGAGTTTCTATTAAACTCTGTGTTTAGAGTTATAGTAGAATGTGTGATCATAAAAAGCATTACTCATATATAAGTTATTAAACTCTGCTTACTATTACATTTTAAATCAATTATCCTATTGTATATGATTGTATAGTTGTACCTATGATCATACTACACGTATGTGATCACATTGCGTTGTATGTATGAAAAGCAAAATTACCAGTTCCCAGTGACTGGAAAATTTTAAGTCAATCTATCAATTTAAATTATTTCATGGACTTTAAAAAAGGTTAATTGTAATGCATTTTTCGTTTCATTCAGAGCCAAAGC